CAATCCAATGCGTCGGGAGGCGGCCGTGAAGCGCGCGCTGCCACAGAAGAACTCGAGAGCCACCTGTCGCCTGCAGAGCGCCCCTCGGCCCACTGCGCTCTTGCAGCGTCTAGTGAGATGGGGGCGCACCGCGTCGCCGTGGCACCTAGCGGGGGACTTGCGAGTCCTCGGCTTGCGGGCGCTGGGGCCTGCCTGCATTGCAGCTGCCAGCCGCGGCGGCACCCTGTGCACGAGGCCGGCGCCAGCAAAGCCCCTCTCGAGCAGCGCGCAGAAGTTCTGCTCCACCAGGGCGCCTAGCTCGAACGCGTCGGCCCCCGCGCCCTGCAGCTCGCGGAGCAGTGCGGTCTCCTTCGCATAGCGGAACATCGACGACATCACTGCCCATCGGCCGCGACGGAAAACCTGCTCCAGGGCCCCCCTCTGGCTGAGGAGGTCGTCGCTGACCCCTTCGTGCCTCATCCGGTAGAGGTGGGGGCGCAGGTGGTTGATGCCCAAGGCTGTCGCTGCCAGCGTGAAGAAACGGTTCAGCATCGACAGGCTGAAGCTCCAAAGCGCTGTGCCTGGGGGGCCCCTCGAACGCAATGCGATCAGCACCGGCACGAGGAACAGGTCGTGGTCGAAGAGGATCGACTCGTCGAACGACCCCGTCTCGCCCCCCTGCCCGCGGTCCGCGGGATGCAGCAGCAGCCCGTCGGCAGCACGGTGACCTGGGGCGACGCGAAGAGGTCAGGATCCAGATCGAGGTCGACGAGCCCCAACTCCTGCAGGGCCCCTGCCCTGATGCGAGAAAGAGAGACCATCGCTTCCATGCCAGCGGGAGCCTTGCGTGGAAGAGCGCGCGCTCCAAGTCGCAAGAGGACAGATGGATCCCCTCCGCGGGCGCCTCGACACTTCCGGAGGCGGCCGCCGACGGGAGCCGCGTAGCCGGCGAGTCCAAAACATGCAGTTGGCGGCCCTCGTGTCGAAGATGATGCGGGGGGCGCCCGACTTCTTGGGGGCGAAGAAGAAGCCGAGTGTATGCGGCTGACCCTCGTCGACCGCGAACTTAATCATCTGCCTCTCGCGCATCAGAAGCGCGCGCGCTCACGTTGCGAGTCAGGGCGGGGTCACAGCAAGCCCGCATGGGCAAGCTGTTTGTGCCTAGACATCTGCAGAACACCGATCTCGAAGCAGATGGCTCCGCCAGTTCTCCAGCCAGACCTTGTCTTTCGACCGCACCAGACTAAAGATATCGACGGGCGCAGACTCCAGGGAAGGCCATGCGACCTCGCCGCTGAGAGAGGGGGCCGACGCGGCGGCACCAGACCCGCACAGGTTGGCGCATGAGAGGAGCTCCGGGAGGGCTCCCTCTGTAGCAGCATCTGAAGCACAAAACTCCGAAAGAGGCGGCCCGAACTCGTCGACGCTGTCGCTGATGCGCAGGATGGCCTGGCGCCCCCCTTCGCGAGCTGCCGCGGGCGGCGAGGAACGGCGCCCAGCACGTCCCAAGTGGCTTGAGCGGCCACAAACCTGAACCGGACGAGGAAAGACGTCACGAACGCGAGCGAGTCCAGCACGCCGAGGGCCTGCGGCGGCAGCCGCATCCTGGTCCCAGGGGGGGGGCGGGCCCATCTGCCCCCCCCCCCCCGGTGCATCTTAGGCATGGGCGTCTGGGCCCCCCCGGCCGCCCCTCCCGCCATGCTTGCCTCGCCCGCGACCACGGCCGCGCCCTCCGTCTCGTCCAGCGCCCCCGTGGCCGTCGTCGCCGCTGCTGCCTGAAGCGCCCGAGCCTGCTGCTAGAAGCCGCTCCCCACGCGCTTTTCGGCGCCCCTTGGCGACGTTGGCCTCGCGGGCCTTCTCGGCCGCCAGCCAGTCGCGCAGCTGAGGTGCCGCGCGCGCATTGCCGGCAGCGTCCAGAGCCCCCGACATCAGTGCTGCGTCCGAGCCGAACTCCGAACTGGGCGCAAACCTGCCCCTGTAGAGCTCCTCCTGCGTCTGGAGAGTCCGGCCGCCCAACTCCACGGAAGCGAAGTTGGCCACGTGCAGTTGGTCGCAGACGACCGAGCTCCAGCAGGCGGCAGCACGTGCAGGAGATGCGCATCGACTCTAGGATCGTCAGGCTCCAAACTCCAAAAAGGCCTCCGACTTCAACTTGGCGCGGCGCCCGAGGGGCGCCCCCCCGTTCCGGCAGATGAAGTTCAGCACCCGCAATAACGTCCGCGGCCCCTTGAGGGGCCAATCGGGCCACGGCGGCCCTGAAGTTGATGTACCTCGCCCCCTGAGAGTCGAGAGAGACGGCCTGCGCGCGAACGTCGCCACCGGGCGCGCCTGCGATTGCTGCCAGAGCGCCAGCCAGCGCGGCCGCGCCGCGGGGCGCGCCGCCCGCCCCTGCCGCGCCTACGGCGGGGGCTGGGGCCGGCAGGGCGATGGCGGCCCCCGAGGGCACCACGGGCAGCGCCTCCGGCTGGAGCGCCTGCAGGCAGCGCTGGGGCTGCATGGGCAGGCGCGGGCGGCGCGCCGATGGCAGCGGGCACCAGAGCGCCAAGGCCACCTGGCGCCGCCGCCGGCGGCCCGCCCAGCGCTGCGGCGAGGCCAGCGAGCCCGCCAGCAGCGCTAGCTCCGCCCGCGGCTAGGGCGGGTGCCGGTGCGGCGGGCGCCGCTACGCCTGCACCTGGCGGCGCAACGACGCGGTCTGCCGTGTTGAGCGCGATAACTGGCCCAGCCGCGAGCCCGAGCGACGCCCTCGTCGAAACCGATGCCGTTGCCACCTCCACCGGCAGAGGGAGCCCGCGGAACCTGTACACCTGGTCAGCCCCCGTCTGTGGCGACGCCGCTCCAGCAGCTCCTCCAGCGGGGACCGCGAAGTCCCGGATGTCCGCGCCGCCCTGCACGATGGACTCCACATAGGCGTGCCCGTCGGGCGTGGGGGCGCCAGTGCCGAAAAGCGCCGCTGGCTGCATGGCGACCATCAAGCGTTCGTGCCATATCCGAGCGCCACCGACGCGGTAGAGCACCAGCACGAAGTCGCCCTCATCGAGCCCAACGACCGCCAGAGGGTGGCCGGCCGCTGGGGCCGCCGCCGCCGACATCACTGGGCGCTGGCGCGCGCCAAGGCCCGGGCGGCCTGCGCGCGCCTCTGTCTCCAGGGACAGCGCCTCAGCCCTGCTCGCGGAGGCGGCCGCCCGGCCGAGGGCCCAGGCCGAGACGGCGCCGAGGGCCGCCCCTCAGAGCATGGCGCCAGCAGCACGGCCGATGTTGGCCAGCCCGCGGGCGCGGAGGAACACAGCCGGGCTGCTCCTGGCCGTCTCCGCACACGAGTAACACGTGCAGGCAGGACAGCCCGCCCTCGACGCCCACACCAGCACGGCCTGCCCAGCGCCCTGGACGGCCTCGGCAGGCAGCCAGGACGCAAAAGGCCATCGAGACGCCGCGCCTTTGCACTTGAGCCCGCATGCCGATGGCATCGCAAGTGCGGCACTCTCCAACCGATGCTCTGCTTCACGCTTCAGAACTGGAGATACAAGACTGCGGTGGCGCTTCGCGCCATGCACCTTGGTCCTTGAAGTTTGGTATGCAGGCGGAATGGCAGGAAGGTCAACCCGACAATTTAGCGATAACTCCTCGTTGCCTTTTCCAGCATCGCCGCTAAAATTATGTTATTCGTTCTCCTTCCTCCATGCTTATTTTTCCTCATTCTCGCCATGCCCTGCGCATTTTCCCCATCCTCCTCTGCTCGTTTTGCGGAGGCTCCTCCTTGGGGAGCCTCTGGGGGCATCACAAAAGTTTCAGGCTTTCTTAAAGCCTTCTGGAGGCCTCCTGGGCGTGTTCTGAAGGTTCTGGGGGCTTCCTCGGGCCACCCTGCCTCCAACCGCGGTCTCCCTGAACGACGGGGTCACGATTTTGAATGCTTCGGAGGGTGTCTTGGGGCCGTCTTGGGCTGCCATGGGGCTCTCTTAGGGCCATCTTTGACCCCTGTTGTGCCGTTTTGGGGCTCTCTTGGACTGCCTGGAAGCCCTTTCGGATGGTTGTGGGGCGATTTTGGAGCCTCCCAGGCGGCCTCGGACGCCCAAAGACTGCCGTATTGGAGCGTCGGGAAGCCGAAAAGAGGAGAACCCCAAAATTCACCAAAAACCATCAGAAAATCAATGATTGTTGCCTCTTGGGGCCTTCTTGGGAGTGGTCTTTGAAACTTTTTTGAGGCCTTTGGGGCCGTCCTGGAGGCCTCTTAGGCCATCTTCAGGTCACGTCAGTCACTCTTGGAGCGCTTTTCTGCTGTCTTGGAGGTCTCTGGGGCGTCTCCGATGACCCCCCTGATCGCCCTAGGTGTGCTGGGAAAGCTTGGCAAAACGTCCTGCGAGGCCCGGGGGGCCGCTTCGAGGCCCGTCCGGAGGGTTCCAAAGCCCCGGATCCCGGGAGTCCGGTTCGGTTTTGGGGGGGGGGCGCCGCCCGGGCTTGTAAAAAAAGAGGAAGAGAACCTATAGATAAATATATATATATATACACATACAAATATATATATATATATATATATATATATATATATGTGTGTACACGTGTTTTAGCGTTTTTAGGGCTGATGCCCGCCTTCCTGACACTGTAGGGACACTGTAGGGACAAGGGGGCCGTCCGCCCAAACGGCCGCCGCGGCTCCACGCACGGCCGGGTGGGGCCGCCGTTGGGCCGCCGTTGGGCGGCGGGGCGCAGCCCGCGGGGGCCGAGCGGCCTGCGGGGCCTCCAGCCTAAAAGCCTGGAGAGGCCAAGCGAGCTGCCAAGCGAGGCAGGCCGTCGGCGCACCCAAATCTGGAAGAGGAGGGCGGAGGAGGAGGGGCGGGGGAGAAAGGGGGGCAGGTGGAGGATGGGGGTCTCGGAGGAGGAGGAGGATGGACGGGAGGAGGAGGAGGAGGAGGAGGAGGAGGAGGAGGAGGAGGAGGAGGAGGAGGAGGAGGAGGAGAAGGAGGAGGAGGAGGAGGAGGAGGAGGAGGAGGAGGGAGGATGGGGGAGGATGGGGGAGGACGACGGACGAAGGAGGAGGACGAAGGAGACGAAGGAGAGAGGGGGATGGAGGACGGAACATGAGGATGGAGGATGGAGCAGGGGCGGCCGACGTTGCGGCCAGGAGCGCCGAGGCGTCTGCACGCGCCCCCTGCTGCGGCTCTTGTGGCCGTGTGCACCCCGCCGTGGCCGAGCGCCTAGCGCCACGGCAGCAGCCATCGCCACCAGCTTCCAGATGCGCCGGAGCCGGAGGCATCACCGGCGTCACCACCGCTCCCGTCGGAGCCCGTGGTCTGGCGGGTGCTGGCCGCGGCTTCGGCGGGGGGGTCGGCTGCGTCAGAGTACGCCGCCTCGGCAGGCGAGCCACTGCTGCTGCTCGTCGTCACGGTGTCGTTGGCCGCGCTCGAGCTCAGGTCCGCATCGGGCTCGGCGGCCTCACCTGGCTGGCCGTCCGGAGCAGAGGAAGAGTGTCCGGACTCGGTCGCCCTGTCACTGCGATTCGTCTCTGCGCCTCCTTCTGGATGATCCCTCGACTCCGTGTCGTTTCCGAGCACCTTCTTCGCAGCAACCCCACCTTCATGAGAGCTTTCGTTGGATGAGCCCTCTGCCTGGGAATTGCCTGTGCCATTCGACACGTTGGCATGCCCAGGAGATGCAACTTTGCGATCCCCGTCCGCAACACTGCCGTTGCTCTCGGAGGCGCTGGTCTCTGTCACAGTGCCTTTCACCTCTGACGAGTTTGCCACCTGGTCTGCCGTTTTATTAGAGAAGCCCTCCTCCTTGGAGTCGTTCGTGCCAGTCGACACATTAGCACGCTCTGGAGATGCAGCTTTGTCCCCCCCGTCCGCAACACTGTGGTTGCCCTCGGAGGCATTGGTCTCTGTCGCAACACCTTTCGCTTCTGATGCGTTCGCCGCCTCGCTTCCTGGCATCGTGGTCGTAGTCTGCACCACGCTTTGGTACCCCAAGTCGTCGAGCAGGTGCTGGAGATCCTCTCGGGAGCGGCCAAGAGGGGGGTGTCCAAGAGGGGGGGGTGCAAATCATGACCAGCGGCATGTGCGCGGCCCAGCGGGGGGGCCAGGGACGTAATGAAACAAGAAGAGGCGCCGTGAGATCTGGGAAAATATCATGGCCCGCGCCATGATATCCCCCCCCCCCTAGTCATCACCCCCCTCTTTTCCGCCCCCGAATCCTCTCCAGGCGTCTTCGCGCCTGAGGAGACCCGGACATGCTGGGAGACCTGGAGCAGCACGTTGGCACCGGGCAGCTGCAGGTCAGCGGCGGCTGCCACGGAAGAGCAGGCGGGGGCCAGCACCAGGATCAGCTGGCGGCAAGTGGGGCGCGCTGAAGTCGGTGCCATTCGATTCTGCTGTATCGGTTGCGCCAACCCTGCCACTGCAACAGCCTCGAGCCCAAATGACTACGATTCGGGGGCTCTGCTTACATCAGCTCGAGGAAGATCCGCCACTGTACCCTGTGCACGTGGATACGTGGAAGAATGCCAAGGGCTGTCTGGTAGGGCTTCTGCAGTCAAAACAGGACACGCCCCTCTACTGGCGGATCCCTGCATGCATCGCCCCTCCTCCCCGAGGCCACGATCCCTCGTGACAAAACAATGGAGCCGCGCTCCAGAGGCCACGATGCGCAGTAAAAAACAACGGATACGCGTGCCGAGATCCCAAGACGGTCCACGCAGGCAACCAAGGACAGCAAGATGGCCAAGGTGCCTCGAAAACGGCCCAAGATGGCCCCAAGGCAGCCCAATATGGCCTCCAGACGGCCCAAGATGCCTCCAAGAGGGCCCAAAGGGGCCACAAGAGGACCTCCAACAGGGTCCGAAGAAGCCAAAATCATTGACCCACCATGGGTGCATTCTCGCCTCGTCGGGCTTCCATCAGCCCAAGACGGCCGAAGAAGCCTCCACGATGGCCCCAAGTCGGCCCAAGAGGCCTCCAAGAGGGTCCCACATGGTCCGAGAGGTCCCACGATGGCCCAAGAGGCATCCAAGACGGCCCAAGAGGGCCTCCCGTGGGCCCCAAGACAGCCTTAGAAGGCCTCTCGACTGCCCAAGACGACCCCAGGACGGCCCCCTGGACACCCAGCATACGGCCAAGAGGGCGACCCAAGAGATCCCCAAGACGGCATAAGAGGGCCCCACGACGGCCCACGACTGTCCCAAGGGACCTCCATCACTGCCTCACAGTAGGGCAAGACAGCCCCAAGACGGCCTGAACGAGCCATGAAAACTCCCCAACTAGTGAAGAAAAGGGCGTCACATGTGGCAGCCTTCCTCTTTCACCTCTCCTCCTCTTCCTCCTCCTCCTCCTGCTCCTCCTCCTTTTCCTCCTCCTCCTCCTCGCCGTCATCTTCCTCCTCCTCCTCCTCCTCCTCCTCATCCTCATCCTCCTTCTCACCATCATCATGATCATCACTGTACTTATATTCATAGTCATTCGCATCATCAGCATCATCCCCGTCCCGAGTCCCATCATCAACAGCATCATCAGCATAACCATCAACATCACTATCATAATCATCCTCATAATCCCCATCATCAGTAGAATCAGCATCAACATCGACATCAACCTCATGCGCATGATCATCAACATCAGCACCATCACGGTGCCACATGCAACGGCATCCCGTGCCCCCTCAAACCGTCGCCACCCAGAATGCAAGGCTGGCACGGTGGCGGTGCGTGCCGCAGGCAGCTGGATGGATATGCCAGTACCTAGAGGACCAACCGTAGGGTGATAAGGATATTTAAAGCGCTGACGTCATCTTTGGCCTGTATGGAACGCACAATTCAACTCACGAGTAGACACACGTCGGGGTGTCACGATGGATGTTCATACATGTGTATACGATATATGTAAATGTGCATATGTCGATGAATCAACCTGCGTAAATGGATCCTCAATTATTCATCGAATACAACTGCCACTACCATCCGACCGGGGCAATCATCGGGAGAACAATTAGGTTTGCCCATCGGCCTGTATCATCTATAGGTCTCGCTATATATCGGTCTGACTATTCGTCTACGGATATCACTGTCACTACATCGTTCGATATCACACGGGACAGCTGTTGGGACAACTGTTGGGACAACCCAACGGGACAACTGTTGGGACAACCACCGGGACAACCATCAGAATAACAATCGGGAAAACAACCTCGGGACAACATCGAGACATCCATCGTGACAACCAACAGGGCAACCATCGGGACAACCAGTGGGACAGCCATCGGGACAACCATCAGAACAACCATCGGGATAACCATCGGGATACCGAACGGGACAAGAATCGGACCACCATCACATAGTTTAATCCCACTAGCGTGCACCCAATCACCGCCTCATACACGACACAGCTTAAACGCTATAGCTTACACCGCGTTGTTCTCACCTCCCCAGCTCTCACCGCATAGCTTACACGGCATAGCTGTCACAACATAGCTTACACCGCATAGCGCCCACCTCAAGTGCAATAAAACACTGTTTGGGTGACACGCTGGCTAACATGAAGCATGTGCATATCTGTATACCGCAGTTGCGGATAAGAATGAGGGGGCGGCGGGAACGTCGGCAGTTTGCGAGGCTCTGAAGAAGCCCGCAGGCCTCTAATTTCGACATATTGTGCCAAGATCCCGCCGCAGGTGACGACATCTTCGTTGACGCAATGTGTGTGGGTCATCAGAGTGTGGCGGGTGACTCGCGGGTGTGTCGCGGGTGGGTCGCCAGTGGGTCGTGGGCAGGGTCGCGGGTGGGTCGCGGGTGGGTCGCGGGTGGTTCGCGAGTGGGTCGTGGGGTAATCGCGGGGTGGGTCGCGGGTGTGTCGCGGATGGGTCGCGGGTGGGTCACGGGCCGGGTCGTGGGTGGGTCGCGGGTGGGACGCGGGTGGGTCGCGGGTGGGTCGCGGGTGGGTCACGGGCCGGGTCGCAGGCCAGGTCGCGGGGGGGGACGACGACGACGACGACGACGACGACGACGACGACGACGACGACGACGACAACAACAACCAGAATCCGCGCCGCGGAGTCCGACTTCAGCCACGCACCCAGGGACAGTGAATGACCGTTTTGCCCAGTCACTTTGATGTACATACATGTATGAATACTGATGTACGTGTGTGTCCACTTATCACTGTGGGGGGCATTGGTGTCCCTTCGGCCTGGCAAGGAATCCATTCCTGGCTCATTAATTTTCAATGGTTTGGCATGGGCGATGTTGCGTTTACAGTGATGTTGCAGTGTTGTTTCATAGATTGCTGTTGTCCTTCCAATGGTTGATATGAATGGCTCAGGTGCAGTCTCGCAGGGAGCATTTTTGCATGTTGAATCGCGGTGCCCAGCAGGGCACACTTTTTTATGTATTGTCCCGCGGGGCGCATTCTTTTAGTATGATGGTCCCCAGCGCATCGTTGGGGTACCATGGCCTCGCAGAGCGTGTGCTTTGTTGCACGGCCTCGCAGGGCACATGGTAGTATAGCCACGCAGAGCTCACTATGTGTAGTACGGCCTCGCATGGCGCATGTGTCTCGCACTACGGCCGCGCAGAACCATCGGGACAACCATCGGGACAACCATTGGGGCTAGCGTCAGGACGAGCATCGGACAAAGCAGACGCACACGCGTCGGGAGAATCGTCGAGGCAACCCGCGGGACAACCGTCGGGACAACACTGAACGACGTGACAAGCACCGGGACGACCATCGGGACAGCCATCGGGACAAGACCATCGGGACAACCATGGGGACAACCAGCGGGACCACCGTCGGGTTAACCAGCGGGGCCATCATCGGGGCAACCATCGGGACAACAGTCTGGAGAGCCACCGGGACAGCCCACTGGACAGCCATGGGGATGACCATCGCGACAGTCAGCGGGGCGACCCGCGGAACCACCGTCGGGGCAACCGCCAGTGCGGCCATCGGTGCAGTCATCGGGCCAAAAGCGCAAGAGCCGCCGGGACAGCCATCTGGACAGCCATGGGGATGGCCATCGGGATTCCGAACGGGACCACAATCGGGACCCCCGGCTTGAACTCCGCCGTCGGTCTTCCGATCTACGAATCTCACGGAACGCTCCTTCGCTAGATTCCCCATGCAGGGGTATTGGGCTGTACTCCACAAGTTCGCAGCGCTGCGGTCCGTGCTGCCTCCTCGTGGGCGCCTCGTGCCAGCCTCCCTCCTCACACGCCCCTGCAAGTCCTCCTCTTCGCTACAAGAAGAGCCCCCCTTTGGAGGCCTGCACCAACACCAACACAAGGGGTTGCCTCCTCAGATGGAAGATGATCCTAGATTTCGGTGTTGGTGGTAACATTTCGGCCACCTTGGAAGCCAGAATATTACCACCATCACCGAGATCGGGATCTTCTTCCCTCGGTGGAGGCACACCGGTGTTGGTGTCAACCTCTAGGCCTGCTACCCCTTGGAATCATCGGACCAGCTGCACCCGCCATTTCGGCGAGGGCCCCGCTTTGAAAAGGGACTGCCTTTCATCTTGTGGCGCGTAGCCAAGAACACGAAAGCAATGATCATACCAGTCAGAGAGGCGTCCAACGAGATCCACTCTTCCAAGAAAGCCCACCCCCAACCCGTGACGGTTGCACATATTCACAACTGTAGCCATGACCTTCGAGGAACTCTCAAGCGACAAGTCCATTTCGAAAAGGGCCGCCATTTATTCGAGGTTCCGGGCCCTCAAACAATTCGAAATCTCAAGCGAGAAGTCAATGTTGAAGAACAAGTGCGCGCTGAGGCGAGAGCCCCTCTTTGAAGAGGACCACCCTCCACTCGTGTCGAACGAAAGGGGGCTAGCAAAAGGCGGGTTAGCTGATCAGCTCACGTAGCTGATTTCTCTGGCGCCTCAAGTCGCCGAGAGGCGCGAATGCGTCGGGTAACGGCCCCGCGCGGCGGGGCGGAAACCAGCTGCACGCTGCAGATGGCATAACCCCACCCCTCCCCTTGTCCCTAGCTGTCGTCCGACCCGATCCATCCGTGAAGCTAGTGCAACCGAATGCGCGGCGAGAACGCCATTTTCAAAACGATCCCCCGTCCATCCGTTTGAAGACGACCCCCCTTCCTTCTGTGAGAACGCTGCCAACATGTACGGAGAATGCGCGCGGCGCTAAGGCGAGACCCACCTTACGAACCCCCTCCCTCCATCCACGAAAAGACTGCAAAGATTAACACGAATGTGCGTGGCCCTGTGAGCCACATGTTGAAACCGTTGCTAGGGCCAAGGCCGCATTTTGAAAACGAGCCCCCTCCGTCCGTGAACATGCTGCAAGCCTGTACGATAAATGCGCGCGGCACTAAGGCGAGACCACATGTAGAAAAGGAAACGCCCTCAAGCCATGAAGCTGCTGCGATTTTGTAAAACAAGCACGCGTGGCGCCATACGAGTGTCACAGTTTG